AGCCCCCATCACTGCCAAAGACCCTTCTCCCTAATTCTTCCCCGGGGGTGCCCCCACGTCAGGGTCCCCGTTGAACCCTCAGGCTGCCAAATAAGATCCCTATCAGGCCCTTCCTCCTGGGACACTAGTCCGCCTCCGCCTACAACTGGAGTCCCGGCAACAAGAGGGCGTGGGGCCTCCCCAGAGCCGGGCGCCCCCACCCCCTCTGTGCTGTCTCCAAATCCGGGCAGGAAAGAACAGAATGAGGCCAGAAACTAGAGGGTTGAGAGGGAGAATATGGATGTGCACTGAGGGCTCCGTGCTTTGGTGACAGATGGATGACCCATTTCTGACTGGCTTGGGACGACAGCATGTACCCCAAATTCAGGCATGATCAGGGACATTCAGAACCCAAGGGTAGGATGCAGGCTCCGTCCAGGAACACGGGAGCTCAGACATGGCTAAAGCGGAGGGGTCCTGGCCAGAGGTCAACTATAGAAATTTTCTAAAGCGCTGACAAGAATGTGAATGGGGGTTTGTGTGACTGACAGAGCCAAGATAGTTATGGTGAGCTTTCTCTCTGTCTCTCTCTCTGTCTCTCTCTCTGTGTGTCTCTCTGTCTCTGTTTCTCTTTCTCTCTGTCTCTCTCTGTCTGTCTGTCTCTCTCTCTCTCTGTTTTCTGACCCTATAATGCTGAGGGAACTACTACATGGGAGTTTATGGAATGAATTGCTCTGACTCGCAGCCTAGGACTATCTGGAATCCCCTCTTTTATTCTAGGACTATCTGGAATCCCCTCTTTTATTCACCCAGACTCCTATTCATCTTTCAACACCAATCACAAAAATTCCCCCTGAACAAAAGCAAAACTTCAAGGACTTTCCCAGCTTCTTGTCCTTCTCTGACTTGGCCCTGGTGTCACAAGACTGGGGTGTGTCTCTTAAGCTCGGCTAGGGTCTCATGGGAACCCCAAGCTTCCCCAGCATTTGAATGAAGAGCCTGCTGACTTGATTATGTATTGAGAGTGGCTGAGGGGTTGCCTGTGACCCCACATCCACACACGTTTGTCACTGCAATGTCCCCTGCCTTGACAGACACCCCCATGGCAGGTGTCCAGGCTGAGCCCCCGGACACAATAGATGGAGAAGAGCAGAGGGTCAGACTGTGACATCAGGACAGTCTCTGACAGAGCAATGTCCAGGAAAGGAAGTTACTCCAGGGCTGCCGGTCTCAGTTCTCACCACCTCCCTTGACTCCTGAGTTCCTGTATTAGAACATGCTGGGTACAGTTCCAGACTCCACGGGTCAGGGGCCATTGGAGAAGGGCTAGCCTGGCCTGCTGCAGGGAGTTCATGAGGCTGGGAAAAGCCATAACCCTGCCCACAGGAGGGACAGCACTGACTAGAGGCAGATGAGGGAGGTGAGGAAGAGATTTGGAAGATACGGGTTCCAGACTCATCATCCATGCCCTACCTAGAATCCCTCAGTGAGGGGCTGGGGCATGGCTCAGAACCTGACAGTCATGCACTGTTCTGGGTTTCATCCCAACACTGAAAAACTACAAAGGCCCTTTGGTCAGCTCACCCTGAGTCTGGAAGGAGTCAGTACTTGAGGGGCGCCCTCTGCACTCTGGTCCCTCTCAGGTCTCAAGGCCTTTCACCTCGCCTGCCCCATCAGACATGCAAAAAAAATCAACTGCACCCAGATCTCCTTGGAGCCTCTCAGCTGGAACCTCAGGCCTATGGGGTCCCAAGGGCAACCCTGCTGGGGTGGCCAGGGGGTCTGGTCCTGCCTCCCAGCCTCTTTCAGGGCCAAAGCTGGCTCTTTGCCTTTTGTTTTAAAGAGTGAATTGGGTTGATGCTGTTGGTGCAGGTGACAGGGAGGGCCCCCTGTACCCCACAAGGTTCCTGACCCCAACCCCTGCTGTGCAGCCCAGGGAGCCCCTCAACTAGCCCTTCTTAGCATGTGACTGCAAATGTGGAATCAAAGCGTTGTCTCTTGTTTTTCCTTTCCTGGTTTTGGGGAGGGTTTTAGGTCCACCCCGTTACTCCAGCACCTCCCTCACTTCTCAGTCAATCTGTGACTTGGGACATGTGTTCAAAACACCTGGGGAGTGCTCATGAGTGCATGGTGTTGAGATGTTTTGCACTATTCTGACTTTTTGGTCTCTGTAAAAAATATTTTATTAACATTAAAAAGAAAAGCAGAGAGCTTGGGTGCTGGCTGGTGCTCTTGTACTCCTTTTGACAAAACCCCAGCCAGGGCCTGGGCGGTAAAGGGGCTTGTGGCCAAGCCCGAGGCTGAGATCAATTCTGGGGACCCACACGATGGAAGATGCCACCAGGAAATTATCCTTTGACCTCCACCGTGTCACAGCTCATGTGCACAGCCCCCACCAACACACTAAAAAAAAACAAAAACAAAAACTAGCCAGGGGCCAGCATATTCAGAAGACCAGGCTGTGAACTGAAGAGACTATTCTTGTCCTGAAACAACAGTGTAACCCACTCAGCCGCATATCCACACCACCCCAAACCAACCAAGGAACAGAAGCCCAGGGACAAGCTGAAGACTGTCAGTGTCCACAGGGTCACATGCCAGCTTACAAACCACAGGGAGCATGCCCCCAGGCCTGTGAATTGGTGTGATTTGACATAGGAAGTGCTAGCACTTGGTGCAGGGGCATCTGTCCTGTCTCCAGCTGTCAGCTCCAGAGCCTAGAGTCATACCTACTCAGGGTTTACCCATATCAGATGGCTGTGGCTACGTCTGTAGGCCACGTTCATGATGACTGCCAGGAATGGCACCCTCCACAGGCAGGTGGGCCTGGGCTGAACAGAAGCCTGAGCCAGCTAGTCAGCAGGTTCCTCAGGGTTCTGGCCCGGAGTTTCTCTTCAGGTTGCTTTTGCCCTGTTTTGTCACAGGAACTGGGTGGGACCAGCAACTCTGTCTCCCTGTCCCAGGGTCCACAGCATCTGCTCTCTGTTGCCCTAGGTGGGCTCCTTGATAATCCAGACATGGTGTCTGATTCTTTGGGAATAGACTGTGATGGCCTCCACAGCATCAGACCCTCCCAGGGGTGTTTATGGAGTGGGGCGACATGAGACTCCCAGTCCGTCCTGACCCATACCCCTTAGCCCGGCAGTACACACAAGATGGGCCTTCAAGCCCCACTGACTGGCAGGGACAGCAAGACCACAGGCTTCAGTGAAAACCAACCAGATGTATTTAATGCAATCGTGCACAAGTTACCAAGGCCTGAGCAGGTAAGCAGCTGTCCCCACGTGCCTGCCACCTGCTGACATTCAATTTGGCTTTGAAGGCACAATGACTCCCCTTGGCCCTTCGGGGAAACATACTGCCAAGGCAAAGGGGAGCACCCCAATGCAACTGGACCACTTCAAGGTCCCCAAACACAAGAGCAGGCAGGGGACACCTGAGATACAAGGGCAGGGAGAAGCTATGGAGGCTGGGGATGGGCAAGGGAGTCCCAGTCCCCATTGCGCCCCCTCCAGGGGGGCTTGTAAGGCCATGAGTGCTGTGAAACTCAGCCGTCAAGTGTGAGGAGGGCAAGCTCCCTCTGGACGAGGGCTTCCGAAGATGCTGTCTCCCCAGGCAGGTTGAAGGGTGACTATTCAACTCAGCTGGGAGTCCTTGAGGCCTGGTACACACAGGTGCTCAATAAATGCTTGCTACCTGAAGAAACCAAGTTTGTTCACTCTCGGTCCTTGCACTCAGCATGCAGCCCGGCACACAGGCGAGTGCCACTGGGACCTCTACCCCAGCAACCAGTGAGTGACACACAGCTGGTACTCAACTCGGTGCCCAGGGCCCTGCCTGGCATTAGCAGGCACTTGATGCACTGAATTTTTCTTATTTCAGTATTCCCAGAGCTAAAAATGGTGTCCAACACACAGTATGCCCTCAATAAAGACTCAAACAGATTTAAAAATGAGCACGCAGCCATAATATCTGATTCAGGCTGATAACTGCCTGATGATCAGATCAATCACCCATGAGGGGAAATCATGTCTTTCACTGCCCTACTAAGAAACCTTCCTTCAGGGTGGACACAACAGAGACTGGGCTCCTTCTTCCCAATCTCTCAGTGTTCAGCCCTGTTCCTGGCATACAGTAAGCACTTCATCAATGCTGCCTGTATACAAGGGGCTGCTGAACAAGACATGGAAGCTGCCTGCTATAGAGCCCTCTGTGGTCTGCCTACGTGGCCCTACAGTTTCAGGCAAGCATGTGAAGGCTTGGCCTCGGCAGTGGCACTGGCTTTTTGCCGGCTCCTTCAGAGCTCGTCACGAGCGGCGCTGTCCAGTGGGGACTGAAGCACATCTGAGTTCTTGGCCTCTCGGCTCAGCGCCTGCTGTTCACGCATCTTCTGGGACTTGGCTCGGTCCCAGTCAGTCTTAACCTGCTCATTATTCCACACCACCGAGGTCTCTGTGTCACTGACATAGCCATCGTCCCCTGTGTAGTGTGTAGGATAGATGAGGAGAGGCTCCACGGAAAAGGCGCGCAGGTTGCGGGGAGAGAAGTGAGTCTTATATTCTGACCTAGGGAAGACAGGGACCCAGGAGATGGAGACCAAGGGGCCAGAAACAGACCTTCCTTCAAGCCCACCAGGACTTGCCCCACCACCTCCAGCCCCAGAGCCCAGCAATCCCCTGCCTGTGTTTTCAGGGCTCAAAGACTGCGGTTTGCCACCCAAGCCCTCTTAAACAGCCCTCACAGCCTCCTTACACTGGGTGTTTGTCAAACATGACCGGCAGGAACTCGTCAACAGGCAGCATCTTAGCCAGGGGCTTAGCACCAAGCAGCTTGCGCGCGCCTTGCAGGGAGATCACATAAGCCAGTGTCCAGTAGGAGTAATCGGCCTCCACCAGGTTCCTCACACGGGGCACAGCCTTTTCGGGGTGCTCCACTTGCATGCGCTTCCGGCCCACATAACTGGGGTGAAGAATCAGAGACTCGTCACACACACCCTACCTGCCAGACAACGCCACCCCAACATCTGGCCCAGCAAAACCAAGTCAAGCCGGCAGACACAGCTCTGATGTCCTCCGGGCTCCCTGCCTCCTCTGCCTAAGCCCAGGCTGTGCCTCTGGGCCCTGGCCATGCCCTCTGCCCCCCCCCCACCCCCACCCCCCACCGCTTACATGCGGCCCCAGCCCAGCCCCTCACGCTCCACATCCCGCATCAGGCTCATCAGACGTCTCTTGAAGAAGATCTCAAAACGCAGGTCATCCTCAAACACGAGGGACTTCTGTAGTCCCCGCTCCACCACCTGGAGGAAGGTGCCCCGCCGAGTCACAGAGACCCAGCCAGAGCTGCTGGCTGGGAAGGAAATGTGCATGCCAACCTCCCGCACCCAGCAGTCTGCCCACCATCTCTCTCCTCCACTTGCCTGTCTCCTGACTGTGAAACCAAGAAGCCTCCCTCTTGGCAACGTCAGGCAGGCTCGTCTCACCCTTTCTCCTTGGCCTGGAGCAGCCAGACTGCCTGCCCGTGAGGCATTTCAGGAAAGAAGGCTGGCCCACAAAGCACCCATCACTTTGGGCATCCAGGGGCCCTTTTTCTTGCACCTCATCATCTGGAGGCAACACCCCACCCACACAGCTACCAATTTGCAAGTCCCAAATTTGGACGTGTGACATCATGGCACATCTTTGTCTGTTGTTCCCTAACATATGGCCCAGTGATACTAATGCCAGAGGCCATCACTTCTACAGAAACAGGGATCAGAGTCAGGCTGGGGACAAGGAGGTCTCACTTGGGGCTCACAGTCTTCCCGCCTGCCCTGCAGTCCTCCTCCACTCCCCAGGCCCACTTTCTACACATGTCCAGTGCAAGGGCCCCACTCAAAAGTATCAGAGCCAGTGTGAAGACAGTTTGTGGGACAGACACCAAAAGGCAGCTACAGGTCCTGCTGCTGTAGTCAGGTGGCAGCATGGGGACCATAGTCCCTCCCTGGGCCTCTGGGCCTGACCTAAACTGTGAGGAAACTGAGGACTGTGGGCCAGGCTCCCTCACCCCAGACACCCACCTCCTTCCAGATGTTGTAGTGGCTGAGAAAGCAGCCCAGCTCCCCTTTGGTGAGTGGTCGCCCGTGGTAGGGGTCCCGGTAGCCAGGCAGCATCTGGATGCCCAGAGCCTCCACCTGGCTGGTGTTCATGGCTCTGTGGGGGTGGGGGAGGGTGGTGAGGAAAGCAAGGGGGAGGGGAAGGGAGAGGAAGAGGATGGAGATGGGGAGGGGTGAGGAAAAGGATGAAAAGAAGCAGCTGTCAACCTCTGCTCCTGTGAGCGGCCCACCGGGCTGGTATGAGTCCACCCCCACGTCGTTGTTCAAGAGTGTGGCAGCCTGTCCAAGGGCGAGGAGCCTTCCTTCTTTCCTGGTTGCACCCAGGTTCTGCCAGAGTTGGTTCCACAAGCGCACACACATGCAACATACTTGCCGTCCACAGCCTCCACCAAACGGCAGTCAATCTCCTGCTCGTGCAGGGCCTGCAGCATGCCCACCTCATCAAAGCCCATCTTGTCTGCAGTCTTGCTGGGTGCTGAGATGAACTGGGACAGCTGCACTGGAGGATGCTTCACTGAGGGAAAGAAAGCAGGGATCACCGGGGTCATAGGACCCCACGCCCTCCAAGCTCCCAGTGTGACTGGGCTATGCTCCCATCTCAGCCCTTGACACCAGTGCCCAAGTAGCCCATTCCTGCCCGAGACCTTCATCCATACCACACTGCTGCACAGAACAACTTAGACCTCAGCTATGACAGCCTGCGGCAGCATCTGGACCTGTGACTGCTCAGCCTCCTCTTGTGGCCCCACGGTGTCAGGCCTTGGATTCAAGGCCTTTTCCCTGCTCTCCTAACTCCATTTCTAACATCTTGGGAAGAATGTAGGGTCTTGTCCACTCACATTAGAGTCCCAGTGCCCAGAATGGAGCCTGGTATACAGCAGGTGCTCAATATCTACTGCAGCATTACCCCAGTAGTATATGTGTGATGATTTAGGCAGTCCAGCCCTGCTCTCCTCAGGCACACTCTCAAGCTTCACAGAAATGCCGTGAGGCTCACACTGACTACTGCCACTCCAAAAGTGCCCCCCTAGACACTACATGGGTGCACAACCCTCGTGAGTTCACTGCAAAGTTGTGAACACTGTGAGTTCACCCACAGCCAGAGTCTCTCTGGCTGTAGTGCAGGCTGGCCCGTGATTTGCCATCCCTTGACCTCAGCCTCCCGTGTCACACCCCAGCAGCACCCATTCTAGTCATGGGGGCTGCAAGACAGCCAAGACTGTGGCCCACGGAGACTCACCCATGACCTCCAGCTGCACGTGCATGAAGCTCTCGGCCTCGTCCTGCAGACTGCTGTGTGCACGCAGCGGCACGGGCAGGAAGCCATACACCTCCTTATTGCACACATACATCTGCACCTCTGCGAGCGGCGACAAGAGACAAGTCAGTGTGGCACGTGCCCGACTTCCCAGCGCTAGCCTGGGCTGCATGATACCTCAACTCAAGCAAAAAGTTTCTACATTTCAGATTTTGGCCATTCTTTTAAAAAAAACGTAAAAACTGGTTTTGGTTTGTGAGTGTTCAAAAGCAAAAGTGAGAGCAGGCTCTTACTAGTCAGGATGCCATACACTGGTGGGGAACTCACAAAAGAGCCAGACACCCCACCCTCCTATCTCAGTTTTCCATGACAGGGTTTCTCTGTGCAGCCCTGGCTGTCTTGAAACTCGCTCTGTAGACCAGGCTGGCCTCAAATTCACAAAGATCTGTCTGCCTCTGCCTCCTGAGTGCTGGGATTAAAGGTGCTGAGTCCCATCCCTGGGACCCGCAGTGGAAGGAGAGAACTGATGCCCGTGGGTTCTCCTCTGACTTCCACACACACACACACACACACACACACACACACACACACACACACACACCATCACACACACACCATCACACACACCCCACACACAACCCCTCACCATACACACACACACTCACATACACACACCACACACACACCCCCTCACCATACACACACACACTCACATACACACACCACACACACACACACCATCACACACATACCACATACAACTCTCAGCACACACAGACACACTCACATACCACACACCACACACACACTCACACCCCTCACCACACACAGACACACAGACACACACATACAAACACACACACAACACACACTTGGAAGAAAGTGAAAATAGTAGTCACGCATGTCTATTTTTTTGTTTGGTATGGGATCTGTGTGTGCCATAAATTTACACCAGCCTCCCAAGTCCCAGGATCAGAAGTGTGAACCACCATCATGATGATCAACAAGTCTTAAGGAGTAGGGAGTGCCAGGCAGTGGTGGCTAACTCCTTTAATCCCAGCACTCAGGAGGCAGAGGCAAGCAGATCTGTGTGAGTTCGAGGCCTGCCTGGTCTCTGGAGTGAGTGCCAGGACAGCTACAGTTACTACCCAGAGAAGCCCTGTCTGGAAAAACAAACCAAACCAACCAATGGAGCTGGGGAGTAGGGAGTGAGTCTGCTCAGTGTGGTACTGCGGCAGGGATGGGACCAGAGCAGAACCTCCCTGCACACGGCTGAGCCCGAGGCTCATGCACTCTGCACTCTTGTTCTTTGGGACCCACACAACCTCACGCACCTGCCTGTTTGCAGGAGAAGGCAAAGACAATGATGTCGTCAAAGGACCAGGTGTAGTCAGGGTGTGGTGGGTAGAAGGCCAGGTTCCTGGAAGCCGCCTTGCGCAGGTCGATGAGAAAGGTGGAGTGCACCATGGGAACCGCGAAGCAGCCTCTGCGGTCCCGCCTTCGGATGGGGATGTAGGCGGGGGTGCGCTTGTAGTAGCCCTGTGCGGGGTGGAGGGATCAGGGTGTGCTGGAGCCCACAGGGGGTGTACGCTGTGATGCCTGCATCCAGCTACAGCAGTAGCTCTCTCACTGTGTCCACCCCTCACAGTGGACGCGGCCGGGACCACTGGAGGCCCCCCACGGTTGCCTGAGCCGCCTCTTCCTAACTGTTGACATGTAAAGTACAGCCAGTCTCTCTCACTGCTCCTGCTCCAACCTCAGTAATGAAGGGGTGGGGACACCTGCAGACCCACCCCAATGCTTGTCTGTCAAGTGCTCAGCCCACCTGTCTTGGTCCCCACCTACCTGGGAGGTCATTCCGCACCAGAAGTTGGAATAAGCTGCGCGGGAGTCCAGCATTGGGGCCACCACAGTCTTGTTCTCAGCGATGAGAAGACTCAGGGTGTCAGGGTTGGTGATCAAGTTGTCACTGTCCACAAACTGAAAGAGTCACCCACTGTCAGAGTGACCGGGCCCAGGTGGAGGTACGGACATCCAGGGAGTCCTTGGTCCTCTCAATGCCTCTGAGGGGCTGCAGAGACGGCTCAGCAGTAAAAAGCACTGGCTGCTCTTGCGAAGGATATGGGTTTGGTTCCCAGCACCCACATGGTGGCTCACAACCATTTGTAACTCCAGCTCCAAGGGCTCTGACGCCCTCTTCTGGCCTCCACGGGCACCAGGCAGGTATGTGGTACACAGACATACATGTGGGTAAAATATTCATTTATACACGTAAAAATTAAAATAAAATAAAATAAAAAGCACTGAGTTGTGAGGCCAGGGCACAGCTCAGTGTGATAAGGCAACTGCCTGGCTACACACCCAGCTCCCATGGAGAAAGCTATGTCTTGTGTGCAGGGATCCCAGAACTGTGCACATGGAGACAGGAACTGGACCACTGGGTTCCTCCAGCTTCAGAGAGACCCTGACTCAGGAAGTAACACACAAGTAAGTAATTTTACTTATTTATTATTTAAAAATAAAACCCTGGCCATCAGGGCTGGGGATGCAGCTGATATCCATGCCTGGACTCCACCACAGTGTGCTGCAATGAGAGGCAGTCCCACGTTCTGGTCCCCACTGCCTTCTATTGCCCTGTACAGTTCTTTTAGAAGACTGGGATCAGCTGTCACCCGTACCTCCCTGCCACCCAAGGGCCAGGCTTCCTGGGTGTCCTCAGCTGGGGAGGCAGATGCCCTGGGAGCTGTGGGGTCAAGCTAGACCCACCTGGTCCCTGCAAACACTGGAATCTTGTGTAAGCTAGGGCAGTCTGGTGGTACCTCCAAAAATTAGAGAAAGATAAGTCTAACTTTCCACCCTGGGAGATGAACCCTAAAAAATGGAAGGCACAGGTTCAAACATGTAACCCATCACAGGAGCCAAAAAGTGAAATATACAAATGCCCCGAAGCAGATGGAGGCCATGGTGTGGAATATTAGTTAGCCACCAGACAGACACAAATTCACACTGATGTCAGGACAGTCTTTCTGTGCACCGTGTGAAGACACGTCTGTCTTTCCTCACCTGCCTAAGGCACTTTCTGATTGCTTTAACATGAGGCCAGCCTGGTCTACAAAGCGAGTTCCAGGACAATCAGGACTGTTGCACAAATAAACCCTGTCTTAAAAAAAAATAATAAAAGCTGAATGATCAATAGTTAGGCAGGAGAGGATGGGGGGACTTCAGGCAGAGAGTGGAACTCTGGGAACGAATCTGAGGCATGGGAAATTCGCCAGACAAACAAGGGGGAAGCTGAACATACGGTACAGAGGACAGATAATGAGCCATGTGGCAGAATGTAGATTTAATAAAAATGAGTTACTTTAAGTTATAAGAGCTGGTTGGGCCAGATGGTGGTGGTGCACACTTTTGATTCTGAAGGGACCACACCCTCACTCAGCCCCTGCTTTAGCAGCCATGACAGGCTACAGAAAAGACACGTAGGCCTCTGACACAAGGAAACTCCAGATCCTCTGGCCTCCCGGAGCCTAGGGCCAAAACTGAACACAAAGAAACTACAGATGTTCCCTAGCCTCCTAGGTACTTGGTTCCTGGGAACTGTTTGGCCACAAAAGAAACTCCAGGGGAGACCAAAACCTCCCCTATAGTCTCCAGGATACAGTTCTGAAAACTATTGGTATCTACGAACAACAGGCCACCTGCAAGTAACAAGACAAAGCCATAGAAACCACAGAATGTTCCCTCTCAGCACTGACCAATAAGAATATCTGGGTCACAGGTATTTCATGCCAAAATATGACTTTGAGAAATTTTCCTGATTGTTCCCAAATGTCAACCAATCAGAAACCAACCTGTACCCACTGATGTACTCCTGTAAATTTTGTCTTTAAAACCTAGCAGTAGACAGAGAACTTCACTCCCTGTGGAGGCTGCTGTGTCAGCTTGATAGACTGGGTCTCTGTCATGGTTGGATGAACAATAAAACCTTGCTTTTACAGTTCAGTGGGTCTGTCTCCCTGGTGGTCTTTGGGGATCTTCGAGACTTGGGCACAACAATTCCAGCACTCAGGAGGCAGAGACAGGTGGATCTTTGTGAGTTTGAGGCCAGCCTGGTCTACACAGGGCCTTTGCAAACTTCGTTATGAGAGTCAAGAGAGACCTGCCAGAAAACCAAGAGGTCTCCTGACAGAGAATTGCTTGGGGAGATGGTTCCTTCAAATAACCACATTAGAGGTTTTTGTACCCAGAAACTGAGTCGAGAAGAGGTGTGAATATCTCCTAACAAGACAAAAGGTTTCTACAGAGCAAGGGGTTAAATCTGAAATTCATCCTAGAGAGACCCTTTGCTTCCACAGAAGTGATCCCATATTCCTGTGCTCCAAAGTCCCTAGTGCCAAAAAGTGGAACTTACTATAAAAAGCTGTATTAACCCTCACAGTGACCTCCGGCCAGGCTGGTGGAAGGGGAGTAAAAAGAGCCAACCACAAACCACAAAGCCAAAAGCAGGGAAGGGGACATGGTGTCTGTTCTGGGAGACTCCAATAGGTTCCACAAAGTTCTAGGAGCTTCTAGAAGCTCAAACTTGTGACAGGAGCCTGACGTTCATATTTAATGCATCAAAGTGGACATGGCTGCCCGGCTCTCTCAGTAACCCTCAGGCCCTACATGTTACAGGGTATGACTGGCTGTCACTACCGCAGCCCTTTCCCCTATATAATCCAGACATTTTGGTTACCCGCCCTTTTGTACCTTTGGCCCCCTGGCTGCAGTACCCAGTTCCCCTCTCTTCTACAGCGCGATCTGGTCCTGTCCACTCTGGACTCTCCCAGCTGTCCCTGCCTCTGGCTGCGCTCTCCCTTTTATCCACAATAATGGAGCTGGGGAGTAGGGAGTGAGTCTGCTCAGTGTGGTACTGCGGCAGGGATGGGACCAGAGCAGAACCTCCCTGCACACGGCTGAGCCCGAGGCTCATGCACTCTGCACTCTTGTTCTTTGGGACCCACACAACCTCACGCACCTGCCTGTTTGCAGGAGAAGGCAAAGACAATGATGTCGTCAAAGGACCAGGTGTAGTCAGGGTGTGGTGGGTAGAAGGCCAGGTTCCTGGAAGCCGCCTTGCGCAGGTCGATGAGAAAGGTGGAGTGCACCATGGGAACCGCGAAGCAGCCTCTGCGGTCCCGCCTTCGGATGGGGATGTAGGCGGGGGTGCGCTTGTAGTAGCCCTGTGCGGGGTGGAGGGATCAGGGTGTGCTGGAGCCCACAGGGGGTGTACGCTGTGATGCCTGCATCCAGCTACAGCAGTAGCTCTCTCACTGTGTCCACCCCTCACAGTGGACGCGGCCGGGACCACTGGAGGCCCCCCACGGTTGCCTGAGCCGCCTCTTCCTAACTGTTGACATGTAAAGTACAGCCAGTCTCTCTCACTGCTCCTGCTCCAACCTCAGTAATGAAGGGGTGGGGACACCTGCAGACCCACCCCAATGCTTGTCTGTCAAGTGCTCAGCCCACCTGTCTTGGTCCCCACCTACCTGGGAGGTCATTCCGCACCAGAAGTTGGAATAAGCTGCGCGGGAGTCCAGCATTGGGGCCACCACAGTCTTGTTCTCAGCGATGAGAAGACTCAGGGTGTCAGGGTTGGTGATCAAGTTGTCACTGTCCACAAACTGAAAGAGTCACCCACTGTCAGAGTGACCGGGCCCAGGTGGAGGTACGGACATCCAGGGAGTCCTTGGTCCTCTCAATGCCTCTGAGGGGCTGCAGAGACGGCTCAGCAGTAAAAAGCACTGGCTGCTCTTGCGAAGGATATGGGTTTGGTTCCCAGCACCCACATGGTGGCTCACAACCATTTGTAACTCCAGCTCCAAGGGCTCTGACGCCCTCTTCTGGCCTCCACGGGCACCAGGCAGGTATGTGGTACACAGACATACATGTGGGTAAAATATTCATTTATACACGTAAAAATTAAAATAAAATAAAATAAAAAGCACTGAGTTGTGAGGCCAGGGCACAGCTCAGTGTGATAAGGCAACTGCCTGGCTACACACCCAGCTCCCATGGAGAAAGCTATGTCTTGTGTGCAGGGATCCCAGAACTGTGCACATGGAGACAGGAACTGGACCACTGGGTTCCTCCAGCTTCAGAGAGACCCTGACTCAGGAAGTAACACACAAGTAAGTAATTTTACTTATTTATTATTTAAAAATAAAACCCTGGCCATCAGGGCTGGGGATGCAGCTGATATCCATGCCTGGACTCCACCACAGTGTGCTGCAATGAGAGGCAGTCCCACGTTCTGGTCCCCACTGCCTTCTATTGCCCTGTACAGTTCTTTTAGAAGACTGGGATCAGCTGTCACCCGTACCTCCCTGCCACCCAAGGGCCAGGCTTCCTGGGTGTCCTCAGCTGGGGAGGCAGATGCCCTGGGAGCTGTGGGGTCAAGCTAGACCCACCTGGTCCCTGCAAACACTGGAATCTTGTGTAAGCTAGGGCAGTCTGGTGGTACCTCCAAAAATTAGAGAAAGATAAGTCTAACTTTCCACCCTGGGAGATGAACCCTAAAAAATGGAAGGCACAGGTTCAAACATGTAACCCATCACAGGAGCCAAAAAGTGAAATATACAAATGCCCCGAAGCAGATGGAGGCCATGGTGTGGAATATTAGTTAGCCACCAGACAGACACAAATTCACACTGATGTCAGGACAGTCTTTCTGTGCACCGTGTGAAGACACGTCTGTCTTTCCTCACCTGCCTAAGGCACTTTCTGATTGCTTTAACATGAGGCCAGCCTGGTCTACAAAGCGAGTTCCAGGACAATCAGGACTGTTGCACAAATAAACCCTGTCTTAAAAAAAAATAATAAAAGCTGAATGATCAATAGTTAGGCAGGAGAGGATGGGGGGACTTCAGGCAGAGAGTGGAACTCTGGGAACGAATCTGAGGCATGGGAAATTCGCCAGACAAACAAGGGGGAAGCTGAACATACGGTACAGAGGACAGATAATGAGCCATGTGGCAGAATGTAGATTTAATAAAAATGAGTTACTTTAAGTTATAAGAGCTGGTTGGGCCAGATGGTGGTGGTGCACACTTTTGATTCTGAAGGGACCACACCCTCACTCAGCCCCTGCTTTAGCAGCCATGACAGGCTACAGAAAAGACACGTAGGCCTCTGACACAAGGAAACTCCAGATCCTCTGGCCTCCCGGAGCCTAGGGCCAAAACTGAACACAAAGAAACTACAGATGTTCCCTAGCCTCCTAGGTACTTGGTTCCTGGGAACTGTTTGGCCACAAAAGAAACTCCAGGGGAGACCAAAACCTCCCCTATAGTCTCCAGGATACAGTTCTGAAAACTATTGGTATCTACGAACAACAGGCCACCTGCAAGTAACAAGACAAAGCCATAGAAACCACAGAATGTTCCCTCTCAGCACTGACCAATAAGAATATCTGGGTCACAGGTATTTCATGCCAAAATATGACTTTGAGAAATTTTCCTGATTGTTCCCAAATGTCAACCAATCAGAAACCAACCTGTACCCACTGATGTACTCCTGTAAATTTTGTCTTTAAAACCTAGCAGTAGACAGAGAACTTCACTCCCTGTGGAGGCTGCTGTGTCAGCTTGATAGACTGGGTCTCTGTCATGGTTGGATGAACAATAAAACCTTGCTTTTACAGTTCAGTGGGTCTGTCTCCCTGGTGGTCTTTGGGGATCTTCGAGACTTGGGCACAACAATTCCAGCACTCAGGAGGCAGAGACAGGTGGATCTTTGTGAGTTTGAGGCCAGCCTGGTCTACACAGGGCCTTTGCAAACTTCGTTATGAGAGTCAAGAGAGACCTGCCAGAAAACCAAGAGGTCTCCTGACAGAGAATTGCTTGGGGAGATGGTTCCTTCAAATAACCACATTAGAGGTTTTTGTACCCAGAAACTGAGTCGAGAAGAGGTGTGAATATCTCCTAACAAGACAAAAGGTTTCTACAGAGCAAGGGGTTAAATCTGAAATTCATCCTAGAGAGACCCTTTGCTTCCACAGAAGTGATCCCATATTCCTGTGCTCCAAAGTCCCTAGTGCCAAAAAGTGGAACTTACTATAAAAAGCTGTATTAACCCTCACAGTGACCTCCGGCCAGGCTGGTGGAAGGGGAGTAAAAAGAGCCAACCACAAACCACAAAGCCAAAAGCAGGGAAGGGGACATGGTGTCTGTTCTGGGAGACTCCAATAGGTTCCACAAAGTTCTAGGAGCTTCTAGAAGCTCAAACTTGTGACAGGAGCCTGACGTTCATATTTAATGCATCAAAGTGGACATGGCTGCCCGGCTCTCTCAGTAACCCTCAGGCCCTACATGTTACAGGGTATGACTGGCTGTCACTACCGCAGCCCTTTCCCCTATATAATCCAGACATTTTGGTTACCCGCCCTTTTGTACCTTTGGCCCCCTGGCTGCAGTACCCAGTTCCCCTCTCTTCTACAGCGCGATCTGGTCCTGTCCACTCTGGACTCTCCCAGCTGTCCCTGCCTCTGGCTGCGCTCTCCCTTTTATCCACAATAAACTTTCTCCCCTACCACACCTAGGAGCAGCCATGTCCTTACTTCTTTATTTTTTTCATTTATCTGGGGCTGAAACCCGGGCGTAGCATAAATTTCCCTCTTCAAGGAATTCGGCCACTCTGACTCTCCTAAGCTATGTACAGATCATTTGGTTCTGCTGGCTTTTGCCACCCACTAGACTCAATTCTAGAATGCACTCTGCAGCCTCTTCTTCCCTCCTGTTATGGTGGAAGCTTCGCCCCACAGACTCATGGTTTTCTGGTCCATCCAGGATGAATTTCTCCTCTCTGGGGGGCTGGAAGGCCACCCGGGAGCATTGTGTCTATTAAATGTGAGCTTTTTCTAATTCGGTTTGAGTTGGTCTGATTTGGACTGCTGCATCGGTGGAGAGGGGATGTAGAAACTTTTTACCCCCACCTTATCTAACTGTCAGTCTCTCCTCACTTACTCAGTAAGTCTCCTCTCCTGGCTACACCCCTCTTGGGGCAATTACATGAGGGCCCCACCATGGGGGCCATTCTACCTTCTAAGGGCACTTGTACTTCTTTACTTGAACTAACCACTGGTCTCCCCACTTCTGTGGAGCTTCCTGCTTTGTCTACTTTTACCAGGAAAACACACACACACACACACAGACACACACACACACACACACACAGCCACACAGACACACACACACAGACACACTCACACACACACACACACACGCACACACACAGACACACACGCACACAGACACACACACACAGACACACTCACACACACACACACACACGCACACACACAGACACACACGCACACAGACACACACACACAGACACACTCACACACACACACACACACGCACACACACAGACACACACGCACACAGACACACACACACAGACACACTCACACACACACACACACACGCACACACACAGACACACACGCACACAGACACACACACACAGACACACTCACACACACACACACACACGCACACACACAGACACACACGCACACAGACACACACACACAGACACACTCACACACACACACACACACGCACCCTGCACCGCACCGCCGGTGTACCAGGAAGCTTCCTCTCGCCCTACTGGGCCCCCCTCATGTGGAAAGGGTCAACACCAAGCTGCTAGAAAATTCAGGTAAGTAACAATGTGTGTTTTTGATAACCAAGATTTGTAAATTCTGAAGGTATACTCGGGTTCCCAGTGAAGTTTGTCCAGCTCCTTTCTTTACTGACTTCACTTTACTTGGATAAACTAAGCCATACAAAACCCTGCAATATTCCATAATGAGGTCCTATAAAAAGATCAGTAGAGTTGCCAGTCTGTCTATGGACTGTATCTATGATTAAAAAGTTTTATTTTGATACTAGAAGGCTTCATTTCAAAAATTGTTATTTTTTTAAGGTTAAACCTAACAAGGCCTAACCGGGCGTTGGTGGCGCACGCCTTTAATCCCAGCACTCGGGAGGCAGAGGCAGAAGGACCTAGTTCTAGGCCAGCCTGGTCGAGAGCAAATTCCAGAATACCCAGTGCTACACAGAGAAACCCTGTCTCAAAAAACAAACAAACAATAACAAAAAAAAAAACCCAAAGCAGAACCCACAAATGAATACCCCACAAATGAATGGTTTAAAATAAAAAGGAGGGGTGTGCAGTGCCCACACAGACCAGAAGGGGGCACCAGATTCCCCAGGACCTGAGGTTAGCAGCTTGTGAGCTGATCCTGAGTCCCCTGCAAGAGCACCCAGGGCTCCCACCCACTGGGCTCTCCAACCCCAGAGACTTTCTCCTTACAGGCTTACTGCAAGTCGGGGAAGAGGAAGTCAGGCCTTAGCCACTGCCTGGAACTTACATCAGACACCCAGCTCTTGACCCTTGGTGCTCCATGGGGGGTGGGGGTGGGGTCAATCCCCAAGACCCACAGGGTGGAAGAGAGAACCACTCCTGCAAGCTGTCCTGACCGCGAATGCCCCTCACACACAAATAAATAATGTTATTTCAAAACATGTATTTTTAAAAACGTACCGGGGCATTGGTGGCACACACCTTTAATCCCAGCACTCGGGAGGCAGAGGCAGGAGGATCTCTGTGAGTTTGAGACCAGCCTGGTCTACAGAGCTAGTTCCAGGACAGCTAGGGTTGTTACAGAGAAACCCTGTCTCGAACCCTCTCCCCAAAAAACAATGTAATGCCCAACTCCAAGGGGTTACAAAGACCCACTTGTTCTTTTTGGGGGGGCCTGGGATGGGATGTAGGCCTCAAGTACCCATGAGCTATGGTCACAGGCCCCTCCCCCTCCCTTCACCCCTCCTTTTTTTCAGACAAGGTTTTCTGTGTAGCCCAGTGGGGTTCCTCAGGCTCCTCCCCCTCTCGCATGCAGAGACTCACCATGATGTAGTCAGCCCACATGTCCCGAGCAGACTTCAGGGCCGCTTGGCGCAACTTCATGACATGCTCATACCGGGAGTCAGACCAGTGTTTGGGGCCCTCCTCATCTGGGTAGGAACTGTGAGAGAGTAGCTGTGATGTGGGGACTGTGGGGCACCAGGGGGCCTCCAGAGCACCAAGCCACATCCGGAGGGATCACAGAAGCTTCAGAGGATCTGAAGGCCTCCAAGGAGAGCGTGGGGAACAAAGGTGCGGGGTCCAGAGGCCCAGAAGCTAAGGCAGCTGAGGACCAAGGACAGCTGTGTCTGGCTAGAGACCCGGGCCATCAGGGTGCTTCTGGGCACAAAAGGAACAGGAGAGCCCACAGCACATCACTAGATGCAATCCCACCGGCTACTGTAAGGGTGGAGATCTGTGATTCCAGCCCTAAGACTGAGGCAGGAGGATGGCAAGTTCCAGGCCAGCCTGGACTACATAGTGGGACAGGTTCATCACGAAATTAAAGAAGAAAGTGGGTGTCCAGGAGCAGCAGCAGATAAAGGGCTTCTGCCATGGAGGTGTGGCAGGTTGTGTCCAAGGCTGGACAATGAGTGGAAGATAGCGGGGACAAAGGTCGGCTGGACAATGGGTCAGGCTCTCCTGGAGAAGCCCAGGGTGGGGTAGGACGCGCTCCTAGCTTCTTAGGTTTGTGTACCGCTGTGCGGACCAGAGGCTCACCTGGGTTCCTCCGCCGGTCGCCACTCCACAGAGTGGTACAAACCCTTCACAGCCACCAGCCACTCTCGAAGTATGGCTGAAGTGTTGTCAGTGTTGTGATCCGTGGCCACCCTGTGAGCATAAGGGGAGTGGAGAAAAACAGGAAGGCTCAGTCACCAGCAGCTACAGCGCCCTGGATAAACCACCCTCCTGCTCGCGCGGCGCCCGCTGCCCATCAGTAACAAGGCCGTGAATTCGATGCCCGGGTAGCTGCTACACAGCTGAACGAAGCCTGCCAGCTTATAAAGCTGAGGGCCTTATAAAGTGAGGGCCCTGTCACAAAGCAAAGCTGTGTAAAAGGAAACTGAGTCACGGTGTCGTCCCAGCCGCCCCGTCCCTCAGGAGAAGGGTCCATTTGTCCTCGCGGCCTTCGAGTCTCTCACACCGGGGTCTGACTGGGTCCGGAACCCTGTTAGGTTCATTGAGCTGATGGGGAAGCTGCCGGCTCTACCCAGGGCGCTGGAAGGGCCTGGGAGGCACCAGGCTGCCTGG